GGCTAGCAATTCATTTTCCAGGTGTTCCAAGTCCTTCTTCAGACCATGTATCACGTGGAACAAGGTAGTGACTGATTGGCGAATGTCCCCCAGTCGTGAGGCCTCCCTTTCAGACTCCATCAATGGCTGACTGGTACTGTCACGTACCTGATGGGAGACTGAGTTGACGAGGTCGGCCTCACTTGTGTCCCTAGCCCTGACCCCACTGAGGTTGGAACAGGGGGAGTCTAGGGACCAGGGGGACAAGAGCGCCAGGAGTTGTTGCTTGTAGCTCTTGCAGATGATGGCCTTGGTAGACTAAGTATCCACTGATTTAGGGCACAGTAGCAATAGAGCAGGCAGGTTCTGTGGATTGCCGGATGTGCAGCAGAGCAAGGTTAGGTAGCCAGGAACAGGACTGGAGCAGAGTCAGACAAGCCAGGGTCATAAACAGTCAGGCAGCGCAGTACCGAATCAGAAGAGAAAGACAAGGTCAGGAGCAGAGCCGAAGTCAGGAACCAGGAGAGCAATCGGAGTTGGGTCAGCAACAAAGGAAACATCAGGAACTAGCAGGACACGGGGGGGAGCTGAAAGACCAGTCAGCACTGAATCAGCATTGAGGTGCTCTTTAAATAGCCCGCCCAGCGCCGACAGGCACGCCTGGGTCCTAGTGCGAGCCCAGCGCCGTCATCGGTGACAGGTGCGCCTGGGTCCTAGTGCCCGCCAGCCTGTATGCCTTGATGCGCAGATTTATGCGCTGCGGCGATCTTCTCATTCCCTGATAGTTGGTTATGGATTTTAATATAGAAGTTGTATCTCTATCTGATCATGCTCCTGTCACGATGAGATTGAAAGTGAGTGGGGTGCAGAGCAAAGCATAAGCATGGAAATTAAATGAGACACTCATTCAAAATCAAGAGACAGAAAAGAGAATACAAGAGGATTTTTCCTAGCAAATGAAATGGAGGGAATCTCGGCAGCCACAATGTGGGAGGCACATAAGGCATATATAAAGGGTATCCTGATTGCTATAGGAGTGGAAAAAAGAAAAAAAAGGTCAAAGGATAAATAGGTTAATAGAGGAATTACTGTATTTACACTCGATCAATCGCATAAAAAAAGAACAGAAATAGACGTACAACATAAGATTGTTCTAAAAAGAGAAGAATTAAGTAATTTACTAGAAAAATAAACAAATGAGGTATATAATAGGGTGCTTAGAGAAAGATACCTATGGGGAAATAGACCGGGAAAATTCTTGGCAAGGTTAGTGATAAAAAATAAATCAATAATTTGTATAGAGAAAAGCAGAAATGAAACAGGCGAATTAGTGTATCCAACTAAAATAATTGCTAGTGTATTCCAAAAATATTATTGTTACTTAGATGCAGTTAAACCCAAAAAGAAAGATCTGGAAGGAGAGAAAAATAAAAAAATCCAGACATATTTAAAAGAGGCGGGATTACCTAGATTAGATAAAGAAAGATGGGTAATGTTAAAGAAAACGATAACACAAGAGGAAGTGGAAGTTGCACTAAGGAGTACAGTAGCAGGAAAGAGTTCAGGACCAGATGGATTCACAGTGAGATATTATAGGAAATTCAAAGAACTATTAGTGCCAAAAATGGGTATTTATATGAACGAACTGGAAGTAGGAGGACAAATGAGGAAAGAGTCGTTGATAGCACATATTACAATTTCACCAAAAGAAGGTAAAGATCTGTGGCAATGTGCCAGCTACAGACCAATCTCATTATTAAATGTAGATACGAAATTATATGCTAAAATTATTGCTAATAGGTTGAAGGGTTTAATGCCAGAACTGATACACCTAGATCAGTTTGGTTTATACCGTGGAAGGAAAGTAGAGATAATGGACTGAGATCGTTATTACTCTTACAAAAAAGCAAGAAATCGAAGTCCCCAGTGGTATTCCTGTCAAGAGATGCTGAAAAAGCTTTCGACAGGGTGGATTGGGGATTTATGATGAGTACCCTAGAAGCAATAGGGCTTGGGCCCAAAATGTTTCAATGGATAAAATCTTTGTATTGTCACCCGTCAGCTGCAGTGAAGGTCAATGGTACATTGTTGGAATTTTTCAAAATGTACAATGGAACGAGGCAGGGCTGTCCACTTTCACCTTTTTTGTTCATGTTAACTTTGGAACAATGATAAGGAAAAGTATAACAATATAATATAGCAATGCTAAGGAAAAGTGTAGACATAAAAGGAATCTGGATAGGAGAGGCAGAACATAAAGTGGCAGCGTATGCAGACAATATGCTATTTTATGTGGTCAATCCTAGAACAACGCTGCCAAATTTAATACAAACGTTAAAATGGTATGAGAACTATCACATTTTAAAATAAATCTTACAAAATTGGAGATCTTGGATAATAAATGTCGAAAGTGGATAGACAAGCTGTGATGGAAGCATAGGCAGGACAGAACACACAAAGAAGATGGTAAACACACAAAGCTTTATTGAACTATGGAAGGCACTCAATCAGGGTCAGTTCATGGTACTGGCACTCTGCAGCATGCGGCTTGTAGGGACACTCACGGTAAGCGGGCTCACCACTTTCTAGGGACAACAGCAGCCTCACAGGGACTCAGCGGGTAGCGATGGCTCAAGAACTCGGGGGCAGTCCAGGTAGCTATACTCCGGGAACGCCATGGGGCAGTTCAAACAAGGTTAGTCTGAGCGCACAATAGGGGCAGTTCATGACAAGGGTGGTCTGAGCGCATAATAGGGGCAGTTCATGACAAGGGTGGTCTGAGTGCACAATAGGGGCAGTTCATGGCAAGGGTAGTCTGGGCACACAATAGGGGCAGTCCAGGGCACACTCCGCAACATGCGGCTTCTAGGGACACTCACGGTAAGCGTCTTGCAGACACTCAGCAGCATGCAGCTTTCCAGGGACACTCACAATAGGTGGCTTGCAGACACTCAGCAGCAAGCAGCTTCCAGACAGGGACGATCAGCAGACAGGGACGACCAGTGATTAGCAGAAAGGGACCCCCACAACACTCAGCGTTCCAGGGACGACCAGCGATCAGCAGACGGGGACCCCCATGACACTCAGCATTCCAGGGATAACCAGCGATCAGCAGACAGGGACGACCAGCAATCAGCAGACAGGGACCCCCACGACACTCAGCATTGCAGGGACAACCAGCGATCAGCAGACAGGGACCCCCATGACACTCAGCGTTCCAGGGACGACCAGCGATCAGCAGACAGGGGCGGCTTCCCAGGGACCCAGCGATCAGCCGGTAGGGACACAGCAGGCTTCAGCAGGTAGGGACACAGCAGGCTTGCAGGGGCTCGGCGGAGTCCTGGCTGTGAGGCCTGGCCTCAGCGCAGACCCCGCACAGCACCCTGTCCTGAGTAGGAACGAGCACACAGCACAGTGGGTAATCCGGGCCCCAGAGTATAAGCAGAGGGGGAGCGGATAATAGTCCTGACCTTTGAGGGGGGGTCTCCTGCAGAGTGCTCAGCGGGGATGGCTGCGGAGGCCTGGTTCCCACCCGGACCGGACCTCCCAGCGGCTTGCGAGTCCAGCTGCGGTGGAAACAAGACAGGTGACCGGGTCCCGCGCTGGTCTCTTTAAGGCCAGCCAGGATGCTTCCCAGTTGCCCCGGCAACTTCCGGCCCAGCGCCGCGTTGCCGGGGCAATGAGGCACACCCCCTTGACTTGGGCCACGCTCTCGTGAGCGCGGCCCTTGTCTCCTGGCGGCGCAGAGCTCGGGAAGCCCCTGTGCCCACGCTGTGTCCGCCGGGGACGTGCAGAGACATGTCGGCGATCTGCCGCTGGGGTTTCCTGGCGTGGGGGTGGGTCACAGCTCCTCCGCCTAGATTGCTGGATGAGCTGTGATCCTCGCCGCAGGGGTCCCTTCCCCCCATTATGCACAGCCTGGCTTTAAAGGCTGTGTGCAGGATGAGAGGATGTGGCAAGGGGGGGAGTGCACACCGTGACACAAGCATTACGAGAAAACTTCCCTTCAAATGTAAAGGGAAAAAGTTAAAGTACCTAGGAGTAAAGTTAACCCCGTCAATTAAGAGTATCTATCAAGCGAACCATATACCATTATTGAATGAAATAAAAGAGGAGTTGAAGAAAATATCAAAAGGCTAAGTGTCCTGGATAGGCTGAATTAATATGGTTAAAATGGTGATACTCCCGAAAATCTTGTATAAAATTCCAAATGCTTCCAATTTACCTGCCGCAAGAGTTTTTTAGGGTTATTAAAAAAATAACAAGGTATGGATGAATAAAAATCCAAGGCTGAAATATGAGGTCTTATGTAAAGATAAAATAAATGAAATATGCCGAAGATTAAAAGATATTATTATGCGGTAATTTTGTCACGGATAATGTGTGCCTATTCCGTAAGACTGACCTAACAGTTAAGCAATATAGGAATAGAATGATATTTCATTTACTAAATGCAGCAAAAGGGTTGATACGCAAGTTTTGGAAGGCCAAGGAGACTCCTAAGTTAAAGGACTGGTTAAGAAGGGTGAAAAATATACAAAAAAAAAGGAGGAATTATACGATAGTGGAGAAGATAAAATGGGTAAATTTAGGAAAATCTGGAAAGGTTGGAATGAGTTTAACCACCTACATACCCTTCCTGCCAAGGCCAACTTTCAGCGCTGTCACACTTTGAATGACAATTGTGCGGTCATGCAACACTGTACCCATATTCAATTTTTATAATTTTTTTGAGACAGATAGAGCTTTCTTTTGGTGGTATTTAATAACCTCTGGGGTTTTTTTATTTTTTGCTAAACAAACCAAAAACAACTGACAATTTTGGAAAAAAAGTTTAGTTTTTGTTATAAAATTTTGTAAATAAGTGATTTTTCTCCTTCACGGATGAGTGTTAATGAGGCTGCAGTGACGGGCACTGATAAGCTGCACTGATGGGCACTGATGGGCATTGACAGGCATCACTGATGGGCACTGAGAGGCAGCACTCATATATGGCACTGATAGGCGGCACTAATAGTTGGCACTGATAGGCAGCACTGATAGGAAGCATTGACGGGCACTGTTAGGTGGCACTGACTGGCACTGTTAGGCAGCACTGATAGATGGCACGGATGCGCACAGATAGGTGGCACTGATAGGCGGCACTGACTGACATTGATAGGTGGCACTGATAGGTGACACTGAAAGGCAGCTCAGATGGGCACTGATATGTGGCATTGATGTGCACTGGTAGGCACTGATATGTGGCATTGATGTGGCACTGATGGGCACTGGCAGGTGGCATTGATGAGCACTGACAGGTGGCACTGCTGGGGCTACACTGATCATCAGGGCACACTGATAATCAGTGCCCTGATGATCAGTTGATCAGTGTACATGTCTCCTCTGAGGAATGCCGATTACCGGCTCTCCTCTCCTCACGAGCTGTCAGCGTGACAGCTCTTGAGGAGAGAAATGCCAATAACTGGCATTTCCCTATTTACATGCGATAATCTGTGATTGGACACAGCTGATCACATGACCTAGCCGACCTCTTCGGCTCTTTCTCTTGATTGGTGATCTGCTGTGTCTGAGGGACACAGCGCACAAGCCATCGCCGAGCTGCGAGCCCCCGGAGCTGCGCACGTGCGGTTAAAGCAGGAGGACGTTATATGACGTTTTCCCAGAATGAGAGAACCGCCTTGCGCCTGTCAGTTCCTTATATGGGCGGGAGGCGGTTAAAGTTACACAGAGGTTTGCTGTGCTGATGGGGGAGAGGGTGGGAGATGGTAAAAGGAGTTCAGAGGAAAAATATAGATGTGAAGAAGGAACACTAGAGGAACAATAAGAAAAGGTAAAAAGGGAGGTCCTGAGGGGATGGGGGGAAAAGGGAATGGGAAATGGGGTTGGGAAAAATTGTAATAAATTGTAGATGAGTAAGTATAAAAAGGTTTTCTTTTGTATGTTTTGTAAGCTGCAATCATTAAAAATAAAATAAAATTGCTCACGCCCCATGCAATTCCGGAAAACTACATATATTTTTAATATCCATAGGCAACTCTTTAAAAGCCTTTACAGGGGGGGCGCTCGTGAGCAGCTTCAAGGATTGGCGCATTGTAGATCTGCTCCTGGCCCCCTGGCCCCAGTGCCCTGATGCGCAATAAGTCAGCGGCCACCCGCCCATCCAGCGCCCGGCGGGTTGTGCCACAATTTGCAACCTACCTACCAGAAGCCGCAGCCTCGATTTTGGGTCCGCCGCCGGAAGGTTCCAGGGCCCCGGCCACGAGTTTGTGTCTTCCGCCGGAGGCCGCAACTGAAGCCCCCGGCCTTGATTTTGGGTCCCCCGCCGCCGTGACCTTGCATCAGAGATATCCCTGCAGTCTTCCACTCCAGTTCTGAGGGATGCTGAGCTCCTGCGCTGCTTTAAGTCCATGAAATTCGGGAGTTGGGCAATCGGACAAACGATCTCAAGGATAAAATGGACGCTGTGGCCACAGTCATTGAAAGTCACGAACAGGATTTGTGTGAACTCAAGAAAGAATTACCGGACCTGCTGCTCCGGCTTGAGGATTTCTAAAACCGTTCCTGCAGCGGCAATTTACAATTAAGGGGTATCCCAGAAATCATCACAGATCTCACCTCCACTGCTACTGCTCTGTTTCAGGAGCTGACGCCTGCCATTCCCATTGACCAGCTCAAATTTGACCACATACACCGTGCATTGAGCTCCAGATGACCGGATGGGCCCCCGAGGGACATTATCATCAAGTTCACTTACTACCACACTAAGGAAACTATCCTCTTGGTGGCCAGAAACAATCCAGACCTTAGGTTCCAGGGCCATCGCTACCAGCTCTTTGCGGACTTCTCCCAGGCCACTTTTCAGAAGTTGAAGCCCTTCACTTCGGTACCCGGTGAATTAAATATGCCTGGGGCTTCCATTCCGCCTCACCTTCAACTACCAGGGCCGCAGTCACTCTGTTGCCATGCCGGAGGAGGCCCACTCTCTCCTGGAATCTTCACACCTTCTTTCACTGGAAGCTGCTACTCAGAGCACAGCTCATTAATTCGGATCCCCGACAAGGCCACTTCCTTTGGCCCGCCTCTGGGAGCAGTCGCCTAACAGGCAGAGGAATCTCCCTCAGACCCCTCTACGATCAAGTCCATCCTGCTCTTCTCCGGGCTGATGTTTCTCGAATACCCTACGTTGTGTTTCTTCGTTGGACTTTCCTGACGGGACCGTGATTTTGGCCCTTAAGGCTTTTCCAGTTTGTTAGCATTCCAGGTTGGGCCTGTGTCAGGGCAGGTCTGTGGAACGGACAGGTAGGCCTAGTGGCAGGGTAACGCACTGGCTGATGACAACCACCACCAACAGACCGAAGTCCCTCAGGGCGCAGAGTCTAAGTCCCAGGCTGCCCTTCACCAGGGCCCCTGATGGTGGGGATGGACTTGACGCAGCCAGGAACCAGGTCGCGGCCCCCGAGACACCCCGGCTGCGGTAATGGCCGCCGCCAATGGCGTGTAGCTGGTAAGAATGACAATAGCGTAGTCAGGCAGGCCGGGTCGACAACAACGGGACAAAACGGTACAGAACAGTAGACAGAGAATCACAGGTCACAGGCCGGGTTCAGCAACGGAAGGTCAGATCGAAGGAAAACACAGAGAATGGTCTTAGTCACAAGCCGAGTCAGATACCAGAAGAGTCACGAGCGTATACACAGAGCTGTAGCAAGACAAAGACACAAGACACAAGTGCAAAGAGCATGTGCGGATCACAGGCTTATATGTACTCAGCCACACCCCTCTGGGGGATGGACCTCAGAGACCTGAAGGCATAAAAGATTCCCAACATGCTCAGCAGAAATACAAGATGGATGCCAGCACATGGAGTAACATAACCTCTGGGAAAAGGTAGGACCTTGACAGCCTGATCCGGCCTGTTCCCTTGGGTTCCATCCCTAAGTGGGGGGGTCTCCTCCTGGACTTACAGATTATGACTTTTTGCTGTTGTGGCCTACCACGGGTTCGGGTGACATTGTTCGGGTTCCCGTTGGTGGAATGGGGTGATGGTTCCCTTGGGCTCCGGGGTGAGAGGTTGGCCTGGTGGGCCCGGGTTGGGTGTCGGTCTTACTGAGAGGTGGGTGGGGGACCACTTGGGTGGTGTTGTGGGGTACCACGGCGGCCTGTAGTTGTCCTCCTGGAGGGGATTGGCCCCCAAGTTTAGCTGGGTTTCTATGGGAAGTTGACCGCGGATGTTCTCACTTCTGGGACTTATATTTTATTACTTTGGTACCCCGTTATATTATGTTTATTGCCTTTTTGCCCCCTGAGGGCTTATGTTTTTGATGTTTTCATTTGCAGCCATGTGTCCGGTGGTAGAGCCAGCCCCAACTGGTATCCTTCAAGTGTAGGGGGATGCTTGTCACCATTGGCATGACACGTTTGTACTGTTGTATATAGTTCTTGTGTAATTTTCTTTTTTTCTTTTCTGGTTTTCTTTTCTTCTTTTGTTTTTTCAGTTTTTTTTGCAGGGTTTCGGGACGCCATGGTCCAAACACCATTGGGAGTAGAAATTGTTGACCGACTTATTTTTTTTCTACTGAGCGTGCTGTGCTGATACCGCCATTGCCTCATCCCTTCTGAAAGTACACTCACAAAATGTTCAAGGTTTCAGTTCGCCTCAGAAGCGGGCTAAAGTTTTTCATCTAACAAAAAATAGCAGTATGACAAATGCAATACTGCTCAAACAAAAGTGGTTACTTCAAAATCCAAGTGGAGTAGTATTGTTATACAAAAAGCTTTATTCGATCACATGGATCATATAGAGGTTAGACATGGATATGGTAAACAAGTAATCATAAAATCACTTAAAAACATTCGGCGTCTCCAAGTAAAGTAGTTGTTCGGCAGTTTGAGGATCCACATAAGGCAATGGAGTTCCTAACCACTAGATCAAAGAATTTTCCATATTTTCCATAGAAAATCAGCATAGGGAGAACATTCTTCAGAAACCATTATGGTAATAATCACAATAAGTAGAATGACTTCCTAAAATGGAAAAACCAAAAAGAAAGATCATAGTAGGTGGAACTACAATAAGGGAAATATACTGGGCGAATGCATCAGCCCAGCAAACACAAAACTAGTGTATATTTAAATCATTACCTTCTCATTGAAAGATGGATATATGGCCTTCCTGGGTAACCACCCCAGATGAAAGTGTATCCACATTAATAGATGACTCTAAAGAGGTGTATAAATGTGAAACATCAATAACAAAAAACATATACCTGAATAAAAAATAAATGGAGGTAAAAAAACTAAATATTACCATATGGAAGATCAAGAGGACTTAATCCACTTGAAGTGCGATCAGGTCTTGTTGAAAAAAGTGAATGCAGGGGTGGGAAGCCAGGTGGTGAATATATATAATCCAGACTGATATAGCTCAGTCTAAATAGTTACTGTGAAATAAATACCCAAAACTGGGTTTTGGCCAAAAATTGCATTCAGTCATCTTGATTAAAGAGGCACTTGAGGCAAATATAACATAACCTAATGGATATGTGTGCTCACAGATTATTTTTTATTCAACCCACAGCATTCAAATATACTTAGTACAGCATCCTTTTACAGTTATAAAAAACAGCTTTTAAACTCCAATAGCTTGACACAAGTGTCTTGCAGCGATCTACGGGTATTTCGCCCATTCTTCATGGGCAAAGGCCTCCAGTTCAGTCACATTCTTAGGCTTGCGCACTGCAACTTCTTTCTTGTCCCACCAGAGGTTCTCAATCGGATTTAAGTCTGGTGACTGCGATGGCCACTCCAAAATGTTCCAATTTTCCTCTGCAACCATGCTCTATTGGACTTGGAGGTATGCTTGGGATCATTGTCCTGTTGAAAGATATACCTCGTCTATATAAGTCAGGTGTGTAGGGTTCACGTTTCCATCCCTCAATATATTACTGAAGAGAATCATGGTACCTTGCACACGCTAATAAGCTTCCCTGTACCACTGCAGAAGCAAAACAGCCCCAAAGCATGAAGTATCCACCATGTTCCTCAAGATCAGGCCTTGTTCTTCCTCCTCCAAACATAGTGCATGGGCCCAAACTGTTTTGATGTGTTTCATCAGTCCACAGAACACTATCCCACAACTTTTGTGGTTTGTCCACATGGCTTTTGGCAGTACTGCAGTCGACTCTTCTTATTCTTTGGAGACAGCAAGGGGTCTGGGAGTTCTGGCACGGAGGCCTTCATTACGCAGTGTGCGTCTTATTGTCTGGGCTGAAACTTCTGTACCCACATCTGACAAATCTTTTCTCAGTTCCTCAGCAGTCACACGGGGACTTCTCTCCACTCTACGCTTCAGGTAGCGCCAGTCGAAGTCAGCATCTTCCGCCACGACCTAGGTAGCGTTTCAACAGTGCCCTTTGCCTTGAATTTGAATGCTTCCTAAGGTGTCTCTTGGTATGTTTAACATCTTTGCAATCTTCTTATAGCCATTGCCCTTCCTGTGAAGAGAAATCACCTC